ACAGGATCTCTCATCCAGGTGTGCAGTGGTCACTTTAGCTCTCAACCAATAACCAGGCTCAGCAAACAGCATGAACTTGTCCAGTGGAGAAGAGGTGCTGCTGTTTTGATCTCGCTGGAGATCTGCTGCAGAGTGGGGTCTCTGTGGTGAGAGCCATCTCAGAGCCTGCATTTATGAACAGAACAAGCCCTTTTTTTCCTCAGGAGCAGGAGTTAACAGGTGGACAGGGAGCGCTGGGATGTGGAAGACAGAGGCTGCAGTTCAGCAGAAAAGCAGCTGAAGGGCTCCTGCTGCTTTTAAAGCTGCTGTTCATGACAGTAGCAAATCATGTCAGTAAGGTACCTTGTATTGTAACTCATGTGCACTGCAGTGGAGTGAGTAAACTTTTTAAAGGAAACAATCCCTACAAACGTTGTCCAGTATTCAAAGCAACAATGGTTTTAGTTTTTAAAAATGTTGAAAGGGATCTGCCACTTTCAATAAAGTAACAAAACAAATGAGGTTGGTGTAACTTGTATTATTAGGGAAAAAGTATTTGTTTGAGCTGCTTTGCTTTCCATTTTTCTTGACCCTCCCCTGCACCTCCCTGCCTCATACAGCTAAGAGTGACACCGACCTGTTTAAATACTTTTTGTGCAAGGAGGGAATACAGTGAAAGGCACATTCTGTTGGTCCTTTCTGCTGACGTACCCTGGTGTGGGGGGAGGCACATGCTTTGCAAAAGCGTAGTTGTGCTCTGGAGAGTGCTTCGGTGCAGTTTTTGCTGAAGTCTGTTTATTGATCCACAGTATTCAGGTGCAGGTTCAACTGTAAAAGCTGACAAAAGGATAGCTCTGCCTTCACCTTTCTCCCTTTGCAGGTGTGAGGGTGATGGAGCAGTGGCACAGGTTGCCCAGGAGGATTTAGAGTTTCCATCCTTGGAGATGATCAACATACAGGCCTGAGTGACCCTGCCAGCTGCAACTGCTGTGAGCCTATGTTACAGGACAAACACTTTGGAGATGCCACTTAAGTGCCTGTTTAAAACCTCATGTATGCCTGTCCATCCCGAGGCAGAAACACAGGTGAAGGTGGCAGTTGGTTCTGTCTGTGCAGTAACTGCCTCAGCTGGGCTCTCGCTGGAGCCAAAAAGAGAGACTGACATATGTACTTCTGCCTGTGCCTGTTTAGGAATGCTTTTAAATGCCAAGTGCTGACACTCACCTCTGCTCCACAGCCTAGTGCCAGGACGGTGGTGATGCTGCATCTTCTCATCTGCAGCTGAAGTAGGGCAGGGTGGTTCTAGTGCAGCACTTTGGGGACAAGCCAGGTAAGCGGGCAGAACTACACGGATGGGTTGCAGCAGGTACTTTGTGTGAGTGACAAAGTCTGCCTTCTCATAGTAAAGCTCTGACAACCAATGTTCTCCCAACAGACTATAAACCTTCCCCACAGAACTTCACTTCACTTCACTGCACGCAAGCCCTGCTCTGCTTGCACCCAAGTGGTACGAGTGCAGCTGGACACTGAACAGTGTGGCAGGGCAGCAGAGGTAAAGCTGTGGTGATGCAGACAATATGAAAGAGGGAGGTGAATGATCTGGTGTCACAGGAGTCATACTTGTACCCAGGGGAGAGAACAGGCACAGCACCAGAATAGCTCCAGTAAGTCACATTAAACACAGGGTAGGGAACTACTGCAAAAACTTATTTTGGTTTCTTAACACTGAAGCAGGACTGTCCATGACAGACAGGCAGCCAGGCCTGGGGGAAGCAGGGAAAACTTAACGTGTTTACCAGAAATAATGGCTTGAAATGAAATGAGCCTGTTGATGTTAAGCCATGATGTCCCAAGAGCATGAGTTTATCTCTCCCTTAGCATACATCCTGCTAGCAAGAAACTCGTAAGGACCAGCTGTATTCTGTTCTTTCCTAGTGCTCTTGTTAAGGAAACTGCTTAAGATTGTAGCAAGGACCAAAAACACTCCTGCAGGGTTCTGCTGAAGTTAAAATACTACATGATATTTCACAGAAGAACTGATAATGCCACTGATATCCTTGCCAAGGTGAGAGGGAAGCAGTTTTGCCAGGAATTGTGAAGCTTTTATAGCCTGTACTCCTGCATTTTAAATACACAGATATTTGAGCATCTCCACCAGAGAAGGGACGTTGGCTGCCTGCTGTCCTCAGTGTCGCACTAGAGGCACCTGTGTCAGGGACCACACCTTGGACACTGGAGACAGCACATACATCTTCCAGACAGGAGATCCTCAGGTGCAGGTGCAGCGCGTAAGCAACTCAAGGATCATCTACTCCTCAACTGCCCCAAAACCTTGAGGAAGGCCAACTGCTCACTGCATCCCTCCTGTCATGGGAGCTGGAACAGTTCTGTGCTGCTACACAGTGGTGACAGGAAGACAGACGGAGTGGGTGTTCAAACAATCTGGATTAGCCACATGTAGGTACTGACCAGGGGTAGGTATGTCCTATATATTTTTCCATCTTGTAGCGCAGGGAACACTGCCTTAGCCTGTAACACAAGGAAACAACTTCTGACACTTTGAAAAATGACCAAGAACACAGTGGAAGGACATGCTCAAATATCTGTGTATTTAAAATGCAGGAGTACAGGCTCTAAAAGCTTCACAATTCCTGGCAAAACTGCTTCCCTCTCACCTTGGCAAGGATAGCAGTGGCATTATTATAATAATTAAAACCACCAGGGCCAAATACCAGGCCATTTCACCCACGGGCAGAAAACGCTGCACCCTCTCCTGCACTGTGCTTGCAGAAACATGTGTTTCTCCTGCTCTTCTGTCCTTGTCTCTGTGAGCAATGGGCCAGGCCCCGCGTTCCTAACCCTGCACACTGCCCTTCACCACACACAGCTTGCTTTTGGGGACCTCAGCACCTCTGCCCAGGCCTGTGACAGCTGCACAGCCCCCAGCCTGTGCTGCAGAGGGCACCGTGTCCCCCATGGCAGATGGTATATTCATCCTTGCTGAATTTCAGGTGGTTTGTCAGTCCCTTCCTCCTGCCCAGGAGCTGTTTCCCCAGCCTGGTGACACTCACAGCCCCATAAAGGCGATGCTGACACCTCCTCCATTTTATTCTCTGCTACAGACAGAGCAGAGCTTGATGCTGGGTGAGCTGGGAACCAGAGTCTTGGAAAACTAATGAGTACCTTGAACACTCAAAAAAAATATTTTGAATCTTGGTGCTAGAAATCCCTGGCTCCAGTAGGTGAGTGCAACGCCAGGCTGGGGTTAATTGCTGAGACGCCCGGCTGCTGCCAGAGATGTTGCTCCTCCTCTTTGCAACTTGTTCCTGCAGACCTTCCTGACAAGAGACCAGCAAAGGGCAGGAATTGCATGGGAGCATTCGCATGAAAGAGGGAAGGACTCCTGCTAAGAGACTCTCTATGTGACCATGACAAAGAAGCAGTCAACATCAGCCAGGAAAACCATGGAATGTAAAGACCCATTAACCAAGGATGTGCCCCCCCCCCCCCACAATGTTCCAGTGTGGCCATGAATGAGGATGGTGGGCTCAGGAATAAAAGGCCAAGAAAGTTTCATACCAAGATGCTATTTACTTTCAACAGTCATAGCCAGCTGAGTTATAACATATCTAGTCAATCTACATGTATATACCTACAACAGTTAATTTTTTTTTTAAAAAAGGAAGACACTAATAAATTAAGTACATTGAACTTATATGGGACAATGGTCATTGTGCCAGTGGTAGTGAAGGCTGGATCTGCAGCCACTCCTTTTCTCTAGGATGCAAATGCCAAGTGAGCAGTCTGGAACATCCCTCCAGAACCCCCTCCCTGCCATCCTCATCCCACACATGTGTTAGACCATAACCTGAAACAGCCTTGGAGAATGCACATGCTGGCCTCTGCATGTCCCATTTTCACAGGGATCTCCACATCCCTTCGTCCTCACAACATGCAACACTTGCCTTTTTCTTTCACTGCACCACTTCATTGTTCCTTCTTCTAGTAAACAAATATTTTTCTACCTAAAATAAAAGCAGAGTCCCTAGAGCCCGTCAAAGCCACATCCAACAGCACTTAGTGGCTCTCAGCTGATTTCAGTCCTTGCATGGAGGCAACCAAAGGTGACAGCTTTACAAAAACAGAACAAATAGCAAAGATTTCAGATTTAATACAGAGATTTAATAGAGTCCACAGATGCTAATGCTTCATCTGGAATCCAGTGACTTTTATACCTTCATGAGAAACAGAAGATGGATCCCACCCCAAGTTTAAAGGTAAGAACAGGGATTTTCAGAAGTCTTTGCGTGACGCAAGCACAAGCAACAGTGACTTTCAGAGAAGCTTGTTCTGCCATATTGCTTAAATGCTTTGAAAATATCAGCCACATCAGGGTGGGGAGTGTGTTTCCCTCCCATGCCTTAAGCAATGCCCACTACAGGATAAAGAAACTCTGGAGCTGTGATACAAGAATAGCAACTGACCCTCTCAGCATGTGCCATAGCAGAGTTCAGAGGAAAAACCACACACCCTACCTGTACCAACCCACAAAATACCAAAACCTCAACAGCTCAGCAGAGGTTCTGTCCTCCGCTCCCCCTGGAAAAATGCTGCTAGGGCAGTTTCCAAAGAGCAGAGTTGTTCTACGAGAGCTGCGAGTTCTGTTCAAAATGAACCGTGATTAAGTGAATACAGGTGTGGCTCCCCTGTTAGTCTGTGCCAGCAGGCTGACGTTAACAGCAGCGAGTCAGTGGGTGCTTAGCCAGCCATGCCGGGGAGGGAACTTCTGGGAGCCAGTAAGCTCTGGCACCAGCAGCTGCCAGCCAGTCACACCCCTCACAGCCAGTCACACCACTCACGGCTGCTGTTCTCCTGGATGTGCTGACCCTCCAATCAGTCAACGTGTAAAAACAAGGTGGCATTTGCCTTCAGGGCAGGCAAGGGTGTTACTGTACAGGTACAACCGGAACAATAAACCTTCCGCTATGTGTGCACACCACAGCTCTGCGGTTGTGGGGTTCTCTAAGTTGGTTCAACTGGAACAGACTTGACCCTCTTCCATAGCACTGGGAATGGATGTGATCCCCGTCAGCAACTCCCTCGTTCCCACTTTCCATACTAGGTGGAAATGAGCTTCCTGGTTCTTTGCTTTATCAGCTCCAGAGACTCCTGTTTCCACCTGCCTCTCTTGTTGATGTTTACAGCAGAGATCCAGCTCTGCTCCGCTTCAGTCTGTGTGACTGTTCTTCTCATCCTTTGGAAGCAGCAGGCTGGATCTGGCTGGAGAGCTGGTGGCTCTCTTGATCACCTCCATCCACCTGCCAAGAAAGGACATGGGAGATGCTCAATCCCTCACTCATGGATGCATCATCTTGTCCTTTGGTTGTGAGCTGTACCCCTTTCATCAAACCTCACAAAACATCCATTTTCTACTTTTCTTTTACAATTCTTTTAGGAAACTAATATTTCAAGTGAGCAGCTTGAGATGTGGCAAATGCACCCCACAACATGGTTGCCTGTCCAAGTAACAGCTCTACAGTGCTTTGAGCTCCAGACTGTCTTCCCTTGTAAGTGCACAGAAAGCATTTCCCCAGGAGGACAGGCTGACAAAAATTTTCCTGAAGTCAATGAATTGCTGTTCTTACAATAAATTATGTCACAGACTTGCTCATATGGAAGAAAGCAAAGCAACAGTGAAAAAAAGAGACAAACATCCATTGTGAATTAGACATTTTTTCCTTGAAATCACTACATGAGACCAGTGGATTTAAGAGCATAGCTCTGCTGTCCCAGGTAACGGATCTGTATGTTGCTCACAGGTGTGTGACACTCTCCCAAGTGAGGGGGACGTACGTGACACCTCCTCAATAAACCACACTCCAAAAAGACCAATACCACTCTGCACGGCCGTACACAGTGCAGGGGTTTTCACAGCTGATGTAATATCAAAATTTTGCATGTGATGCATTTTAAACCTGATTCACTTTGGCCTACGCATGGAAGCCCCTAACAGCACTGCTAAACATAATCACAGAGAAAGCAGGAAAGTCCAAAGCAGCACTGCACTTGTTGCTCTCAGCCTTGTGTTACAACTCCTGTTTCCAGAGATGGAGAGGAGAAAAAAAAAAACCAAACCAGTACTCTTACCAGAACTCTAATTAACCGAGAAATCTGACTCCCAAGACCCAGTGGGTCTGAGCATCCACCCACGCTGCTCCCCAGCTCCAAGGAAGCCCCAGAGTCCTGAGACAAAGCAGAGCCTACAGCTCTAGGTGTGACCACCAGCTCTCCCTTGCAAGGATGACAGTTCTGGCAGAGGAGGGATCGATGAACGTCATTGGTAAGAAGAGGAAGGGAATGTGCTGTAAGGTAACTTGGACTGGGAGATATGAGGAAAGAGAGGGCTCTGGATAATCAACCAGTGAGCTAACAGCATGTTATATACCAAGACAGATAGAAGAAAACAGAAAATTACCTTTCAAAGGTATATTTGCTCTCAGCCCTGAAGAAATACACATGGGACTTGAACTGCAGCTTGAAGACATAATCCTTCTGGATGCCGTCTGCCTCTAAGGGGGAGCTGACTGCATAGCCCAGCAGCGGGAGACTGGCCAAGGGATAATCATCCTGGAAGAGCCCAAAGGCCCAGCCCTTAGTGCAAGACATCCCCTGCCCCACAGTTAATCACAACACACACTCACTCCTTCATACTGCACAGGTAAAGTCTTTCTATTTTTGTTTAGGAGAGAAGGGGAGGAGGAGCAGCCTTTATCTTCTGCAAGGCCTCTGACAGCTTACAATGAAACCATCCCCCAACTCTTTTCACTGTTTCTACAGAGTTATTTGCTTCTATTCCCCTGCCCCTTGCTGCCTTCTGGGAATCCCCCCTGCCCTCTCTCTGGAACACCAAGCACAGATCTGACAGGAAAGTTAAAATAACCCTCCCAAAAGAAACGTGCCCTCAAGGTAAGAAGCCTGAATAAAATAAACGCGGTTTGTTGGGTTAATAAGCTGAAAAGGCACAGGCTGTCCTCAGCACAGTTCCTTACCCAGCAGGAGCTGAAGGTACTACGAGCAGAAAAAGCCCTGATGCCTGTGGAACTTTGCTGAAGGCCAGTGGGGAGAGAAACAGAGAGAGATGACCAAAGGCCACTGATTCCCTCACCTCCATTAGTCACTGATGAGGAGACATTTTCCCCCTCACCCACAGTAGGTCAGTACCATTAACAGAATTGGAAATCCTGATTAAATCCTGCAAGAAGGGCCTGTGGCCTTACAGAGACTGGCTTAATTACAAACCATCTCCTCTTCCACTTGTTATTCCCTTGTGACCTGCCCCCAGAGCAGAAAGCCAAGGACCTCCAGGACCCCCCTGACACCCCAGACATGTCCCTTCCACTGCATTTGCTCACCTGGTGCGTTTTGTAGAAGAACAAGCAGAAGTTGGTGAAGACAACCCACAGTTTCTGCCAGCCATTGCTGTTCTTGAACTTCCTCAGCAAGTATCCGGAGAGCTGGTTCTAGCACAGAATGAAAAGAAAACTACCATGAAACCACAGGTCGCTGTCCTACAGAAAAAGACAACAGCTGCCACAAAGTAAAAGCTTGAGGCTGCTCACTGTAACGCTCCTGCACTTCCTCCCCTGGTGGAAGAGGTCTCCCAGATACTTCACACAGTGATCGAGTGACTCTGTATCTCCAGATCACTAATTCACAACTATCTTATGAAGAAATTAGTGATTTCTCTCCACTGACAGCAAGTTCCCCTTTATGTTTAAGCACTTGCTGTATCACAGAAAGGTGCCGCACCGACACGTCCCTCCAGCGACCCCTCTCCTGCGCAGCCTATGGTCAGGGGAATGGTGACAGCCATAATGGCGTCCATCCCTTTAGCCACCCTTTTTTATGTGCAGAAAAGCCCTGTCAAACACATCGCCTGAGGAGGAAAATAGAGCAGAAGATGAAACAGAGGGTGCTGGAGTTGTGGGCAAGCTACATATGGCAGCTATGCAAAGCCAAACCCGCATGGCAAGCTGGGAAGTTGAACATTGCTAGTCAGAGTCACCGAGTGCTTGTGCAGAAGGGTAAGGAAACTTACAGCGTGGAATGACAGCAAATGGATTTTGTAGTTAAGAGAGAAAGAGAGGATATGCAGCAGATTCACACAGAGAACCATTTTGGGAAGCATAACCAGGAGGAAATCCTCTATCAACAAGGCAATGTCACAGCTCTGCTGCTGGTTCCAGCACACGTGGGCTCACGGAGCAGTGACGAAGCGAGGGGCAGTACATTTTCCTCGGCATCCCATGGCTCCTCCCCACCAGCGCAGAACTTGAGAGGAATTTTTACCTGGATCATGCACAGGTAATCAGACAGGGATAGGCTCTGGTTCCGGTACCAGCAAACATGGGTGATTGTGTTGGGCCGTTGGGCCTGGCCCAGCAAATAGCGAGGAGGAAGCTCTGGAGAAACAGCAAGAGAGCAGAAAACTGAGCAGAGAAAAGGGAGAGAAAAAGAGAAAAAGAGAACGTTAGGATAAGAAAAGTGATGCAAGAAAGGCATCTGTTAAAGGAAAACGGATTGTGAAAAAAAATGATGGTGTTAGAACATGGAACAGACCAAAGCGAGAGGGAGCTGCAAGAACTCACACCTTTAATCCCAGAGCCTGGAGCAGGGAGGTCTCATTATCCGGGTACAGGACAGCGAGACAGTGCCTTTCACAAGGGTATCAGTGGCAAAGGAAGGCTTGTCCCCTCCGATAGAAACCACTTTCTTTGCCAGCTGAAGTGTCCAACTTCTGGACCCTAAGCCCAGGTAATACCTAAGGACTGCCTTTCCTGAGCTGGTTGATACGCCCTCTCCATCAGCAACACCCAGGAGCTTCAGTGCCCAACTTTAACACCTTTCCAATCAACAAAAGGTGCCTTAGAGCAGAGAAGGGATGGTAGGAAGGTACCAACACATGGACGCAGCACCCTGCCCCACTGCTGTTGGACTAGTTAGCAACCTCCTTTTTCTCTTCATGGTTTTTAATCCTCCCCACTTCTGGAAGTCTTCCAAGCATGTCAGCCTGCAGGAAGGTGCCCTACCCAACTGACCTTGCCAAACTGCTGCCTGAAGTGAAACCGTAGCATCAGTACAAGCAGCACCCTGCTTAAGGAGCACTGAGCAGACATCTATCTCGAAATCTGCAGGATTTGGTACCAAAACATGCCACCAGTGCTGCATCAAGCCATGCTGAGTGGCAAGACCAAAGTACCAGCAGCTCAGTGGGCACATAATAAATCTCTGTTCAGTATAACATGACACAGCTGTTAAAACGGCACTTCCTAATCCTTGCTGCTCACCCCTGCCAGTGAGGGAAGGGCAGAGAAGTCGTATTGCCCCTGAGCTTAACACACTCTTCTTAATTCCAGATGCAGGACAGTAGCTAACCAGACCCCAGTAGAGTCAATCCCTAAAGGGAAATGTCATGGATCGGTAACTTCTCTTCCAGCAAGGCTGATGAAACCCAGAGGAACAATTCAGTCCTAGGATACAGAATCATAGAATCACTTGGCTGGAAAAGATCTTTGAGATCATTGAGTCCAACTGTACCTGTCCACTACTAAACCATATCTCTGAGCACCTCATCTACCCATCTTTTAAATACCTCCAGGGATGGTATCCTGGGTTTCCTTTATAATTTCCCTCCTTCAGTGCTTTGCCAAAGCAAAGCCCTGCTGCAAGGACACGTAGACATGCACAGAGCGGGACAAGCATGCAGTGGCTTTGAACGGCCGACACTCTCCCACAGCTGCAGAGACGCTGCAAAGGTGAAATGGGAGAATGGAGTGGAGGCTGACGAGGCAGGAGGGACAGAGTGAGAGGCAAGAGCTGTGCCCTGCAGGTACCTCGACAGCCACACTGTGGTCAGTCATGGAGACGCTGGTGTTGCGGTACCAGCACACGTGCATGGTTGTGTTGGCACGGTGGTGGCTCTGCCTGTCCAAGGAGCTACGAGAGGAGTGTATGTCATCTTCGGACTCCTGTTCTAGAGAGACCTCATCAGAGGATCCTGGGGGAGGAGAATTCGGCAGCGGTTTAAGAAAAACGTGCAATACAAAGAGCAAGAGAAGCAGGGATTCCTGAGAAAAACTGGTTTCTCTTGCAATGGTCCAGTTTCAAAATACATCAACTTGAACTGGTTACACAGTTCCTAAAGGCCACTCTGAGACGTTCATTTTGGCTTTTGTTACTCAGCTCTGCTTGGGGCAGCTGACTCCATACTGGTAAAACAAACAACCAAAAATCCCCACACTTCATCTTCAGTCGATTCTTAGTGTGGAATAGGAAGAAGTGCTCCAAGAAGGGATAACCACATGTTTCAGCTCATCCATACCACCACCAGAGACAGGCACAAGAATGCTGGGCTATAGAAGAACTTGCTGATCTCCAAAGACACCAAATTTCTGGACAAGAAAACACACTACATGGTTAAATTGAGAAAAATCTAGGTAACTGGAGCATCTCTGCTGCATTTAAAGCTACCAGGAGCATCAGTCTAGGAAGACAAGCATATTTCTTTTCATTAAAACAAAATAAAAGCACAGTAACTCTCAATTATAAAAATATTCAATTTCTGTCATCAAATTCACAATACAAAAAATGAAAAGGCCATGACAACCAGTGCTTTTCAAGAAGGCAGGAAACCACTTACTGTTGGAGCGATTGCAGACAGAGTTTTCCAGAAGCATGTCGGATTTCTCAGTAGATTTCTTGGCCATTTCAATTGCCATGTTTAGATCTCCCATCCACTTCCCCATCTCCAGGCGGGTACTGCAAGAAAAATTGTGTGAATGGCAACCACCCCAGCCTGGGGTCGGGACAGAGCACTAGTTTGCTGAAGGAAGTCACTGCCCAATACAAGGAGCAGTCCCTTTCCATTAAATAAATAAAAAGAATATAAAAATTCCTCCAAAGCATGAGCTTTCCAGCCAGGAAGCTGTCCTCATACAGCCTTCACCTCTTACTTCCAAGTCTTGAAACAAAAATAAAATAACCATTAAAAACTTGGACTTTACAGCAAAGAGAATGAATAGATGGGCAGAGGCCTCCCCAATTCTCTCCCCTGTCCCCTGGGTGGGAGTGAGCGAGCAGCTGGGTTTGGCTGCAGCCAAGTGCTGGCCCAGTGCTGGCAACTATCACAACAGCTTCATAGCTGGTGGGTTATTTCAAACACGAAATCATATTTTCACTCCAAAAAGCATTCTGGAGATGGGTGGTACGACTCCACTGGAAACAATTTTTTCAAAGGATAAAAAGCAACGTGAAAGATGGCACATCTCTTAAAGGGGGTGTAGGATTTACCTTATATCACAAGCAAGGAAAACATGGCGTGCAGGAAGACAAGGACTTCTTTCACCCACGTAGTTTCCATTACATCGCTCACACCGTGATTACAGGGTAAGAGCTACACAGCTCACATACATCTATCTATATCCACGGGTATGCAACAGCATATGGTTTTCCTTTAGACACAGCCATGGCATTTCTTTTTTACCTCTGGCTATATTCCCTGTGTGCACAACTGTTGTTTGAAGTGCTATATACAGTTACGCACTCTTGTGTTTGCTTGGGAGGGTCTGTGGGAATTTTTTTTGTAACTATTTCTTTTTTCTGAAAGTTTTTAATTTAGATTGAAAATTCCAGGCATATTCTAAGCCCAGGAGTAATTTTTTTTTTTTACAGGTAGCGAGAGGTAACATAAGAAAAGCAACAACCTTTGAGCTATTTCTAAGTTATGATAAGGTAAAAGTTATATTTGTTTTTCCAAATTTAAGAATCTTTCAAGCACTTTTTGATCCACAGCTGTTGAGAAATAGTTGATCTTAAAAATAATTGATATTTTTGAGTGTTAGGCAGGAATTAACAAATAAAAGTTTTGCTTGCCTGCATACCAAAAGTATTGGTTCCTGTGCCCATAAATACCTGATTTATACATGTTCAGTAATGGTTATTTTTCAAGAACAAGTTATCAAGCAGTAAAAAACCCTGTAAATTTAAGGTTGAGATTTAGGACTCCCAGCTTGCATTCTCAGCATACCAAACTCCAGGAGCCTTTTAGGGTACCTGCACAGAGACAAAACCTCCTCAGGATGATCCTGAGAGAAGAGGTGTAGTAGATATCCGAAGTATATTTCAGATATCAAGTAAAAAAATCATCCAACTCACTGCAAGGGGACAATTTGCACTGAGAGTGGATCACTTTTCTCACCAAGTCAGACTTTAATTTTTCCTCTCCCTTCCCAGCTTCCTCCGTGAGATCCACGCAGGAACTCTCCCCTCCTTGCCTTCATTGACATGTTCTGGATTTTAATTCTTTTTGGGTCTCTGAAATATTTTTATGTTTAGATTTTGTTTTGTCTCCTGCTTTATAGCAGATGTTTAAAGGATGACACAGGCAACTCAGCTAACCAGAAAACGTTACCGTTGCTGCTGTGTTTAATAACACATCACTCCATGAGATAAACTACTCCTTCCTGAAAGACAGCACTGATAAAGGATTTGTGAAGTGTCTCGCGTCTGTTCTGAAGCCAGGCATTTTCAGAGGACACATGGAACACCCCACGTGGCTCTGCACCACATGATCACAGGATAACTCTTTGGAGAAGGTATCTCTTAAACCTACAGACAATAGAGGAAAATCAAGGTTACCTTGCTGCCACCACTATGGTTTTTTGTGCAGAATAGATGGTGAAGCAGTGTGGGACAGCCCATTCATTCTCACTCTCTTCCACCTGCAGAAAAAGAAAAGGTTTTTCTCATCAGTACTCAGTGACTGATAAACATTAAAACCATCCTCCTTGGCTGGCTAGGAATTTGAGTCACAATATGATTACAACTCAGCTGCAGTAAGTGCAAACCAGCTACTGTTTCATGAATACCATCTACTTCCAGTCTATTTTGGCTCTATATGAAAATCTCTATTGTGTTTCTACTGCTGCATCTCTAGCAGCACAGCACCACATCCACCAAGGCAAGAAAAGGAGGGTTCTGAGCAAGATTCAGCTTAGTACTTACCGGTGGGTCAAGCACTATCAGCTGCAAATCAAACACAGGAAGAACAGTCCCATTAGAATCCAGGGTTAGCGAGGCAGAAGGATTGATTATATGGGCAGGTGTGTGCACAGGGGAAAAATGCCAGGATAAATCTGTGTTTCCTCATCAGCCTCTCTCAACAGCATCAAACTGAACGGATAAAAGCTGTTTTGCTAATGCAAGGGAAGGACTTTTTGGACTTCAGTAAAGCCTTCGATACC